GATGGGGGTAGCGCATCCATCCTGGCCCTCCTTGATCTCTCAGTTGCCTTCAATGGCATAGATCATGCTTTCCTTCTGGGCTGGCTCAGGAGATTAAGAGTGGGAGGCACTGTATTATGATTGCTCTCCTCCTTTCTCCAATCCATGTTGGTAGAGGGGGAGAGTTCCAGCTGGAGGCTCCTGCTTTATGGGGTATCTCAGGGCTCTCCTCTCTTCCCACTTCTATTTAACATCTACATGAAGCCACTGGGAGAGATCATCTGCAAACATGGGGTGCAGTATCATCAGTATGCTGATGATACCCAGCTGTACATCTCTGCCTTAAGCTGACCAAGCAGTGCCTCCAAGGTCCGCTTCCGGTGCCTGGAGGCTGTGAGGGGCTGGATGGGAGAGAACAGGCTTTAGCTCAACTTTGGCAAGGCTGAGCAGCTGTGGGTTTTAAGGCCACCAGGCTCTGGAGATTTTCTATCTTTAACTCTGCCTGTGGGTGCACCTCCCCAGTTAGAGCTGGTGTGCAGTTTGGAGATGCTCCTGGATTTATGGCATCTGCTTGAAAAGCAGGTGGCAGTTGTGGCTAAGGGAGGCTTTGCACAGGTTTGTCTTTGCAGCAATTGCACCCATTTTTGGACTGGGAGGTCTTGATCATGGTGACTCATGCCTTAGTCACCATGATCCTGCTTGGATTACTACAACACGCCCTACATGTTTATATATACCACCCAGAGTCACTGGAAATCAGGCAGGGTTGTGGCTGCCCTGGAAGATAATTTGGAAGCTGCAGATGGTCCAGAATGTAGCAGCATGGGAAGTTTTTGGTGTCTCTTGATACAAACATACAACACCACTGCTTTGAGAGCTGCACTGGCTACCAGTAGGCTTCTGGGTCTAATCAAGGTGCTGGTTACCACTTATGCAGCCCTATATAACATAGGACCAGGTTATTTGTAGGACTGCTTGTCCCTCATTGTCACTGCCCACCCCACCACATCTAGCAGAGAGGGCATGCTCTGGATCTCTTCCATCAAACAATGGAATCTTGTTGGACCCCAGAGTTGTGCCTTCTGTGGCTGTGCCTGCCCTCTGGAACAGCATCCTTCCAGAGATCTGGATGACATTAATCCTGCTAGTCTTTTGTAAGGCTGTGAAGACCTAGCTGTTGCCCCAGGCATTTGGGCCAGGAAATTAGATAAGCTCTGCTGGTGATGTGATTTTTATTTTGGAGGTTGTTGTTTTAACCAGGACATCAGGGGTTGTATGTTGTGGTGGCTTTAATCTTTATACACCCTCCAGAGTTACTAATGTGAGATGGGCAGCTCTATAAATCAGATGATAGATAGACAGGAATGAGCTATATTTAGTCCAGAGATTTATTCTAGAAAAGTGAACACTTA